ACCTCGGGTCTTTAGTAGTGAGCTCGGGCTCCTAGCAGGGAGCTCGGGTTCTTAGTAGGGAGCTCGGGCTCCTAGTAGGGAGCTCGTGCTCCTGGACTATTGGTTTTCTTTTGGTGCTTGTGTTTTGGGCGCTCTGTTGCCCCGAGTTGTTTGCTTTTGCCACGCGTCGAGTGATGGCGAGGTCGGGCCAAATTTCCCTTCATCAGGAATGAAATCTTATTCTTACGGATTCTAATTCCCATTCTCATTCCTTTTTGAATCAAACAGATTATGAGAACAGACCATTCCGATTGCAAATCAAACAGACCCTTAATTGTTTTAGTGGAGGACTACAATATTGGAGGTTCTAGGTTTAATTCTCATAATTAATGTAAAGTAAAGCTTAAATGACCTTATCTTTGTCAAGGGTGGCTGTAAAGAGTTTTCTCCAACAGAGTTGGAATTAGAGATCCTATCATGGCTTGAATAAGGGGGATAAGTGCAGGGCCATTTGATAACAGCTGAAACGGCTTAAACTGAATGACTTATGAAGCTGCATTAATTGCTATACATATCTTCAACTATTTTATCCACTAAAAAACAAAGCATTAAGTCATAAAATTCAGCCACTTGAGCCATATCAAACGACCCTTTAAGTCCCCATTACTATTTCTTATTAGAAGCTGCATTTGACATTTCTTATTTTAAGAAATTATCTCCATTTTACAATTAATAACTCAGTAAGTATTTATAGGAACATTTTAACTGCAAAAAGGAGGAAGTCCTCAAATGCACATGATCACAGCTTCAGATAAAAGGAGTCCACAATCCTTGGTAAAGAGTTTCCTTCTTGTACATCAAATCAGAGAGTGCCCTCTCTGTTTTTAATATATTAAAATAATAAAAAATATGAGTTAGGTTTCCTTTACCTATTTGGTTCAAATAAAAAACAAGAATTTACAGAACTGAGCAGAAAAAAATCAGGAATGAGATAACATTCAGCCTCTTCTCCCAGTCCAAGAGCCTTGCTTCTTCATCGTCATTTAGCAAACTGCCCAAGCTTCCCCTCTCCAGGTACTCGTATTTCATCAGATATGGATGAACGACGGCGCTTTACAGCAACAATTAACAGCACCGGGACGCTTTGCTTTATATACACTCCCTTGTCCTCCCTTCCCTAAACAGTATGTCTCATTGAAATTTTCAATGGCCATTACTATATCCTTGAAAACTAATTTCCCGTCTTCTTCTTCTTCATCAGCATATATGTCTTTGCATCAGCGAGAGGTATGATTATCAACAATCTGCCCAATGCTTTTGTTCCTGTTTGTACAGGTGTTGCTACTACTACTACAAGGAGGCAAACCTTGTGCCTTTGTGCCGCATAAACCAGATTACCTGCCAATGCCTTGAGAGGAGCATTTTGAAAGGCCTTAATGTTGGGAAGTGGACCCTCAAGATTGTTATTTGATATATCAACAAATTGAAGACTCCTCAAATCTTGCAGGGCTGAAGATATGGAACCAGAAACAGAAAGCCTATTATTAGAAAGATGGAGATTTTCTAAAGATGTTTGACTTCCAAGCTGTGGTGGTATCTCTCCAGTAAGACAATTCTGGCAGAGGTCAAGCATAGATTGTAAGGTTACTAGCTTCCCAACCCGGAGTGGAATTGTCCCATTCAACTTGTTATCAGTGAGTTCCAGAGATATTAGTTCTTGACAATTTCCAAGTTCCTCTAGTATTGGCCCACTTAAGTTGTTCTGTGACAAATCCAGAATTTGTACCACTGGCACCCTTTCTATCTCTGCTGGTATCTGCCCAGAAAACTGATTGTTACTCAAGTTTAGTTTGGATACAAGTGGACCTGAACTGAAATTCCCCACAGGAATGTCTCCTTCCAGTTGAATTGAAGAGAGATGAAGCTCTTGCAAATATTTCAACCTTGCAATCTCCCCTGGGATTTGACTTGATATCATGTTACCAGACACACGGAAGAACCAGAGACTCGAACACTCTATCTGGCCAATTCTTTGATAAGACGCCAGACAATCGATTATCACTATATGTGAAGTCTATATAACCACCAAGAAGGTTATGCTCTGGACGGACTCTAGTTATGCCTATACAGTTTTTAAGGCTTTGGGGGATGGACCCAACAAATCTATTTGCACTAGTACTGGAGTATTTAAGCTGTCCTCCTATACAAATTTGAGGAGGGAGCTTGCCTATGAAATTATTGTAAGAGAAGCTCACATTATTCCATAGAGATATGGGTCCAAAAATCATCAAATATACTACCAGAGAAGTTGTTAGAATGAACATAGAAGTAAACCAGGTTCTTCAAACGGGTTATGGTGGGAGGCAAGTTTCCTTGCAGCTGGTTTTCACTCAGATCAAGAAGTTCTGGATTTTCCAACTTGCCTATTTCATGGGGAAGGATTCCAGTGAACTGGTTATTGTAGAGACTTATGTTGGCAAGCTGAGATAAGTTTACTATGCCGGAAGGAATTGGACCAGTAAGAAAGTTGTTAGACAAAAAAAGGTTACCCATCAGGCAGACCCGACTACTTTTGGGAAGCCTAAGTTAGGCAAGTACCGCTGCAGTAGAGAAGCTCCAGAATGAAGCGAAAGAAACAAATTAAACTTAAATAGGGACCAATTGATTTATAAGATTGAAACTACAGTTGATGATGATAGAATAATGAAAATTAATTAGGAGGCATTGTGAATTGATTTGTTTTATGGTTGACAAAATTCAAGAGGAAGGAAATAGGAAAAAGAAACCTAACTCATTTTTTGTTTGTGTTAAAATTTTAATATATTAAAATCAGGGAGGACGTTTGAAACGTCCGTTATTCCCACTCGCACATGCGAAATTTAAGCATGAGAGAGTGCTGATTCTCATTTGATGTATAGGAAACACTTTTAGGAATGGTTGTGCAGGAGATCCGGACTCCAGGTAAAGCGGCCCTTTGTGTCAGGCTAGCTTTATTCTCCTGATAGCAGCTTATTGTTCTTGAATCGAGTCCTTTCTTACTTGGTTCTTGAATCGATCCGGACTCCAGGAGAGAGTAAGCTACCTACTTTATTTGATCAAGTCACCAAGATTTCCCCACAGCCACTATGTTGTGTTTGGCATGTTTTCAAAGAATTAACCCCGATGAATTTTTTTATTCTAAGAGTCATTTTAAAGTTTTGATGTATGAAAGTCATCACTTGAGATGCCAAACTCATTCTAAGAACTAGGGATGTCAATGGGTAGGGTTAAACGATAAACATGGCTAGACCCAATTCTATAGGGTCAGGTTAGGAACTTGGGATTTTGATTCTTTAACCAAAGTGGAGTTTGAGGTGGGTTTAGGTTTGGCTGACCTCCCTTGCCCAGTTATGTAACCCCTACATAAATAGTGTGTTCTTGTAATTTGCTATGACATCAAACTCCATAGCCTTAAGGCTATGTTTGGTTTGAAGGAAAAAAATAGGGAAAAGATGGGAAAGGTAGGGAAATTTTTACAAACCTTGTATTGGTTTCTGTCTTTCCCTTCCTTTCCTTATCTTTTCCTTCAAACCAAACATAACCTAAACATTTAGGATTTYTTTTCTGTTTATTTTGGTTTTTCTCCTTCACTAGAACTTATAAACCAAATTCCAGTTTACATTAATGACTTTTAGGTTTTCAAAATGTGTTATAAAAATACAATTGAAAGGCGAACCCTATAGGGTTGGGGTTGGTTTGGGAATGCATGTTATTGAGTCGGGTAGGGTCGAGTTAGGGTGGAGGCAAACTCATACCAAACCCAATCTTGTGATATCCCTACAAAGCACTGATTCTTCAGAGCTACACAAATTAGTTTCAAAAAAAAAGAATCATATTTGACTCAAAACTTATTCTTCAAATTGTAATTCTTTAAAACAAAATTTTAATCAAACATAGCTACTAAAAAGAACTATACCATGAGAATAAATAAACATATTGGTGTCTGTGTATATAGCTCATGGACAAGTTGATTAATTATGTTATTTTTTCATATTTATGTGGGATTTATGAAAATTTTATTTTCTCTAGGTATGATTTACCCAAATAATTGATACCTATATCCTATGTGTATAAATAACTTTTCTACTTAGAAGAATAATTAACAACACTTAGATAGAACAAAATTACTCCTTTTAATAATGATTCTTTTATGGTACAAAATAAAGCAATAGGAGTAAATGCACTTACCCTTATAATTGCATTTACCAGAGTAACTTCCTAAAAAGTTACTTTTTTTTTTTCCTTTCCTTCTCAATGGTTATATATAATATCTATTATCAAAGTGAAATTGAAAGAGAGTTTGCACTTACTTGTTTGGCTATAAATTCTTTCACGGCCTCCTCTGTAAGATCGAAACCATTTGACCGGACGACGAATGCAACTGGAATTTCACCGGCGACAGCATCTTTTTGCCTGGTAGTAATACACGCAGAAGCAATTCAAAATCAATGTATAATGGGAAACAAGTTGATAGGTGTGCTTAAATGTGAGGTCAAATGCGCTTACGGGACAATCGCAGCATCAGAAATGAATGGATGGCTCACAAGAAGGGCTTCAAGCTCCGCTGGCGGGACCTATATTCGGATTATTAACACAGTTCAACTATGAGTTTGATATGGTTATTGTTTTGTGATATTCGGAGAGAGAGAGAAAAGATAGAATGCATGCCTGAAAGCCTTTGAATTTGATGAGCTCCTTGACTCTATCAACAATGAAGACCTCTTCATCATCATCTACATAGCCTATGTCGCCTGTGTGGAGCCAGCCATCAACATCGATGGTGGATGCTGTGGCATCTGGATCATTTAGATATCCTGCAAATAAATGAGCATATAAACATATATTTCATCAACCATGGCCCATGCATCAATTTCTTTTTTTTGTTATTTGATGATACGCCCGGATCCCAATGAAGTATGAGTGTCAATCCGATCGGATTTGGTCCAATCTGACCAGGTTCTGTCCAATTCAATTAATATTTTGGACTATTTTGGATCGATCCAATTCAATGTTTCGATAATTCAATCTCTTCAAAATTATTTTCATTTAAATTGATTCCAACCCAAATCTGATTCATTCACACCTATATTCTTATCCTATACCAATGGATCAGATATTGGTTCAATCCAACCCAATCTAATATAAATTTATTATAGATGGATTATGTCCAATCCAATTCAATAAATATTTTGGACCGTTAAGTCTGGTTTACTCCAATTCAATATGTCTTGTTGGTCCATCCAATCTATCCAAATTGATTTTGGTTTGGATGGGGTCCAACCCAAAACCAATCCATTGACACCCCTATCATGAAGGCCCTTGAGTAGTGCAGACCACATTCATATGCCCCTCAAAGTTTTTTTTTTTCTTTTTTTTTTTAAGGGTATACAACGCCGAAGAGGAGCCCATCCCCAACCTAAGTGCAAGTGGAATTCAATCCCAAGTCTCCACTATAACCAACAAAAGGCCTCGTCAACCATCCGGTTGACTCATAGCTACCCCCTCAAAGTTGGTGGTAAAGGGATTTGAATCCTTATCTCTGCTGGAACGAACCAACAAACAAATTAAACCACCCTAAACTAGTAGGTGGGTGAATAAGAGAAGTGGACTGACCTTTCATGATCTGTGGTCCACGAATGCATATCTGGCCGGGTTGGTTGTGCGGGAGGGATGCACCAGTTGCTGGGTCGATGACCTTGAGCTCCGCATTCCTCACAACGGTGCCACATGAACCAGACTTGGTTGGGAAGGGTTGCTTCGCAAACCCAAGGCACATGGACAGCACTGGCCCGGCCTCTGTCATTCCATAACCCTGCATAAACGAGCCACCCAATCAAATTAGTGGAAACTGGCCAACCTTTTTCAAGATTGGAGTAAATTTGGCAAAGCATTGTTTATAGGGTAAATTCAGATTACCACCCTGTATTTTGTGGGTAGTGATACTTAAACCCCGACCTCTTATTTGCAATAAATATTTAGGCTCCATTTGTTTTGCAGGAATAGGGGTCTAGAATCAAAATCAGAATGGATTATTTTGATTCCAGCTATTTTTGGTTGGGCAGAGTCAGAATCCCATACCCATTCCTACTGGAATGGCATTCCCTTATTCCTGCCCCTCCCTTGTCAAATGAAATCTCAATCTTGCTGATTCTAATTTTCATTTCAATTTTTGTTTGAACCAAACAAACCATTAGATTCTAACACTTTGACCCCTTCTAATTTTTATAACTAGAAATTAGAATGGCAGAAGAAATTAACCTATTAAAATTCCTTTTTAAAATTCATGTGGGTGAAAGCACATTCTCTTTCACGCCCACTTTGGATTAGAAAAAAGAAAAAACATAAATAAAGAATTTATACAAATATATACGAGAAAAGAAAAAAAATAATCCCACAAATTAAGGAAAAAGATAATTTAGAAATTTAAAAAATGTTTAATTAATACACAGCCGTTAAATGAGAATCTTTTTGAAAATTAATCAACGAAAAAATCAACATAGGGACGAAATGTTGAAATCTAAAAATTTAAAAGGTTTTTATCGCAAATGAAAGTTTGAGGGGTCAAGTATGATTGCACCCAACGTTGTAGCAGTAGTAGGTGCATTGAGTAAATACTCAATAAATTCTCTTAACATAATAAAACAAGTTCCAATATCCTACCAGCTTCATCCGACACAATACATCTCATTATAAAAAGCTGAGGCCCACCATAAAAATGACACCCGCCATATTATATTAACTGCACTCCATTAGTAAACTCTCATGGCAGATTGGCAGCTGCAAATGCCCCGCCCCTCCATTTATTATTGTTTGTTGGTCTGGGACCCGAATTTGAATTCAAACTTAATTTTAGCTTCAGTGACCCGTCGATGCATAGTGTGAGTGTCAATTCATGAAACCGTTGGATTGGGATTCTTTTCTTTATATGCGGCCTTCATCAAATATAATATTGACATCGATTGACAATTCTAGATAGAACATAATAACTTTTGGCGCTTGACAGTTCTGTTATGGCCTTTTCGAGGACACTCCATTAAGGGTGTTTATGAAAATCCAAAAAACTAAAAAAACTGAACCGAATTGAAAAAAATTAAACTGAAAAATACAAATATTGAATCGATTAGTTTAGTTTTTGTTTGGTATTTTTTGAGAATTTGAAGAATTGATTTGGTTTTCAGTTACTCTAGAAAAAAAATTGACAGTTAATCGATTCGATCTGTATATATATGTTTATATGTATATTTTATATATTTTAAATATATGTCATATATTTTGTATGTATTATATATAAATATAGATACATTATATATAAATATGTATTATTTATAATAATCTATTTATGAATATATTATACATTATATATTTTTATAATATATTATATATCATTTATTATTTATAATATAATATTATACATATATTTATATATAAACCAAAAAACCAAAACCAGACTAGTTAACCGGTGGTATTGGTTCGATTTTAGTTTGAAGAAATTGAAATGGTTCAGTTTGCAAAAATTATCTATGGTTCGGTTAACCGAACTGTGGACACCCCTAACCCCCATGGCCCATGAACAATTAACCAATCACACCATATATCTTGGTGATTGATTAATCAGTTTAGACCATTTTCTTTCTTTTTAAGTCAAACTTTTTATTGGAGCAAGCAACTTTTAAAAAGAATTTAAGGATTCATATCTTGTTCTCCCCCTGCCTCGAACCCGCTTGGTTGTCATTGCTATCACATCAATGCAGTTGGGAGTTGGGACTTAAAAGGGTCTTTTGGATCAAGTTCACTTTGATCCTTACGCTTTACAAATATTTTTATACATACCAATAATATTGTTAAGGACTTCAACAGATTGGATCCAGTTGCATCTACATCCGCATCTAAGAGTGTCAATTGGACTGGATTTAGTCCAATCCAATCCAATGAATGTTTTGGACTAATTTGGACCAGTCCGATTCAACGTCTGGACCGTCCAATCAATCCAAATTCATTTTGATTTAGATTAGTTTCAATCCAAACTCGGTCCATTGATACATATTCTTATCTTATATCAACGGACCGGTTTTGGATTGGACCCCATCTAATTTATAAGACATCTAGATCCATATTTATATCCAGTTATCATGTTGGATTTTGTATCAGATTCAGATTTCATTTACAATCATCTTATTGTATTTAAAATGACTAAAAAATTTAAAATATTTTAAAATTTTAATTATTTTTAGTTTATATATATAATGAATGTATGTAAATATAAAATATGAAATTAATCAATTATAAGATAGATTTAGGGATATATAGAATTCAGTTCACATCACGAATTTTATTAGGCTTTTAGGTTTTATTTACCAACAATTCTACATACGACGACTCACTATCTCCCTTGAATTTTGATTCATTCCCCAACTTGTTATTGTTCCAACTATAGTAAAGTTTAGTGGACTAAACAATAAAAAACCGTAAGATTTATATTTATACATAATTATATTATACATATATAATAACCTTTTTTTGAATAATAATATCAGGTGGGACTAAATTTGCATCCAATCCAATTATAAATCAGATGCAAATTTAACATCCAAATCCAAAATAACCAAATTTAGAATCAAATCAAATATCAAATTCAGAGTCCATTTGAGGTTATTTTATTAGATAAGCAAGCCAACGATTAGTACATCTCCACATGAACCCTTGAATTAAAAAACCATTAAAAATCAAAGGGCTGCCAATGGATGGGATTAAATCTGATTTGAATTCGAATCTAATTCATTTATATTAAACATGGTGCATTTATTAATTTAATCGGGGATATTATTTGATCCAATTCAATTCAATTACATGCATTCATATATAATCGAATTAGATTTGATTTGGATATTATGAATGAATTGAATTCATATTTCTGTCTTCCGTATCTACCGGATATTATTATTACATCGTATTTGGATCTCTTGGATTCTTATCAGACTGGGTTCAGAATATTTCTATCTGAATTCGATCCAATTCATTTGTAGACCAATAAAAAATTAAAATAAGAAATCTAAAAATTGACTAAAAATGATAATATTTATAAGCTACACTGATTGTATATAATGTGTTATACACTTATACTATGTCAGCTGCCAAGCTGTTTCAGTTCATTGTAAGAGTCTGTTTGGTTTGTAAGAATAAGGGTTTGGAATGGGTCTGATTCTAACTTTTTGGTTGGGTGAAATTGAAATCCCATTTTCATCCCCATCAGTTTGAGGAAATGGCCATTTTCCAACCTGAATCAAACATGCAAGAAAAATACACCATTCTGATTCTAATTCCAATTCTAACGGTAAACTAAACGGACCCTAAATTCTTTTATGTTTATAGCAGGACCCATTTGATTGTGGGTCCCAATTCTCCTTTTGAAAACGAGGTGAGTAAAGATGAAAATCGTTGTACGGGTCGTGCACCCGATACCCGGATTTTATTGCCAAATATAAATTAAGCTCTATCTCTCTGTGCCTCTACCTCTCAGTTTCGTTTTAAGAGTTAAGAAGAAACGGGTTACCTGCCCGAAGACAGCCTGAGGGACTCTGCTATGAAGAGCTTCCTCGAGCTCCTTACCCAGTGGAGCAGCACCCGACAATACGATCCGAATGGAGCTAAGATCGAAGTTCTCCACCATTTGATTCTTCGCTAATGCCAAAACCAACGGTGGAACAACCGGGGCAACCGTAACCCGGTGCCTCTGGATCAAATCCAATAGTGCCCCAATCTCAAATTTTTGCATCAGCAGAACTGCCGCCCTGGCTCTCAGAGAACAGAGGAGAACAGAGTTCAAAGAGTAAATGTGGAACAGGGGAAGAACACAGAGAACAACGTCTTCTGTCTTCAAATGTAAATTGGGATTCTCTCCATCCACCTGCTGAGCCACGCTTGAGGTCAAGCTCTTATGGGTCAAGATAACACCTTTCGGAAATCCGGTCGTCCCTGAAGAGAACGGGAGTGCAACTGGATCGTCTGGATCAATTGATACTGATGGCAGCTCCCGTTCGTCGGAGTTGGAAATAACAGAGAAATGAACGCAGTTCTCTGGTGGGTCATCGACGGTGACCACTGTAAGACCCTCCCCGATTTTGGGGAATTTCTGGCTGGGATCTTTGAGCTTGTCTACGTATTGGGATTGGGTGATGATGAGCTTGGCGCYGGAGGTGGAGAATTGTTTGTAGATCTCTGCTGGAGTGTAGAAAGGATTGGCGGTTGTAGTTACTGCACCAAGCATTGATGCACCCATGAAGGAGAAGACAAATTCAGGTGAGTTTTGGAGGAGGACCATGATCACGTCGCCTTTCTTGATGCCGAACTTCGATAGACCAACAGCTATTTTCTGACAGATGAGATGGGTTTCTGCGAAGGTGTAGATTCTGCCATTGGAACCTGTGATTAAGCAGGGTCTGTCTGAGAACTCCGACACCTTCTCAAAACAGAATGTGTGGAGAGGGAGGTGGTTAGATATGGGGATGTCTGGGAGTTTGGACCGAAAAATGAAGGTCTCTGTTGCTGGGTCCTTGGTTGGGTGAATTGAAGGAGTGATTTGTGGTGGCTGGGTCTCAGGAGAAGCAACAGAAACCATGGTTGCCATCGTTGCAGTTCTAGTTCTTAGAGGAATTGCTTAAGAACTTTCAGAAAAGTAGAAAAACAGTGGAAAACAGAGGTGTGAGACCAGTTGGAATTGAAAGTTAGAAACTTGAACCAAAAGAGAAGCTAAAGTTCGTACCCAGAAATATAGATCACAATTGAAAATTTGAAAGGCGATCAGTTAAAGAATGGAAACAACTGATGAAAGAATAGATTATAGCTCTAGAAAACTGGAAATTGAGATGATCCCACCATTAATTTTTTTTCCTGCTTATTGATTTTTCAGGGATTACCGTGGAGGATAAAGTAAATCGAAACCCTTAAATAGAGGAAAGAAAGGCAGAATGAGAGTGACAAAGAAAGGTCGGAGAGAGTGAAGATTGATGTTTCTTAAATACAAGAAAGAAGTGTTAGGTAGGTAACTTGGGGTCAGGAGGTAGCTTCTCTGGGTTCTTTGTTCTCACCCACCTAACCTTTACTGACAATCTCTCTCTTTCTCTCTCTCTCAATATTTTATATATTTTGTGTCACTTACGTTAATGTGCCGCTTGTTAACGTGCACGGGCCTCTAATTTGTCTATCCCACAAATGCCCCTCTACTATCCATTAAATTATGATTTGATCTCATTACTGATTACTCCACACTTGGTGTTAAATGGTGAACTCGGTAAATAACTTATCAAATTTTTTAATACCTGTCCATGAATACCTACAGCCTACCCTTATTACTTTATAATGATTCAAAGCAAATACCCAAAAAAAAAAAATCAAAATTCAACATGGATCACTCTTTTTTGAGAGTAGATTCCTGCCCACCAATAACTTACCAAGAAATAACCCTTTTAAAATGAAAGATTATAAGTTGGGTTATGTGGACCAACAAGAATGTTTAATATCATCATCTCATTAAAGTTCTGTAGTATGTTCTATTTCTTGAAGCACAGTTTTCACATAAAAAATAGGCCAATCAATCAGAGTTCAAATAAGTCTTCCATAAAATTTTCCCCCACGACGTTCCACAGCACATTTCTACTGTGCATTGGGAATATCTTCCAATGATAATATCATTATCCGGAGATATTTCCAATACACAGAGGGAATGTGCTCTAGGACATTGTGAGAGACAATCTTGTAGGGGGCTGATTTAATCACAATCAATCAATACCAATTCATACTTTATAGCATGATAGAGGTCATATTGTTATATATGTTGGATCTCATAACCTACTTTAACCCTCAAGGTTGAATATTGTTATATATGTTGGGTTGATAAGTATTATATTGTTATACAAGTTGGTTGTTGGGCGTGGGCCGAAATAACCAAACTGTTTTTTTTGTTTTTTTTTGACATTTTTTATTTATTTTTATTTCTTTGTTAAGTAAAACTAAAATAAACTTTTATTTGGGAATTATTTGAAAAAATAAAAAATATAACAAAGAAATGAGAAAAAAAACTTAACCAAATAAGAAGTCAAGGAGACAAAGACTAAATTGAATAACAAATTGGAAGAAAAATGGGAATTTTATTTCATTTAAATTTGAATGATACAAAACATACAATGGTTGGATGAATGAAATATGAAAATTGGATAGTGGAATAAATTAATAAAATATAAAAAAATATAATATAGTTACAAATTGAAAATAAAAAACTATGTTATTAAAAATATCAAATAAATTAAATAAAATTAAAACAAAATTTACAATAATTTGAAAAAAAAAATGCTATACAACTATTTAGTATACAAAAATGTTGATTTCCATCATTTTCTCCTATTGTTCTTGACTTTAATCATCTACTTCAGGTGAAACATCAGTGTCATGCCCTCTTTTGTCTTGTAATCTATCTTCAGCATCCAACCAATCTTTAAAGTAGATGTACATCTCTAAACTTTCATCATTTATACATCTTCTCTTGTCGTCCAACACCCTAGCACTTGTACTAAAACAAGACTCTAAGGGAATTGTAAACACCAAAGGGGTTAGTAGATCACGTGCCATAGCGACGAGAACTGGATAATTTTTTGCATGTTCACTCCAATAGGCTAAAATATCAAAATTATTAATTCCTTCCAAGGTTAAGAAAGAATCAGATAAAGTAGAAAAATTTGCTTGTAAATAAAAATTAAGTTTAGTAAATGAACTTGTTGTCGAGGCAGTGGATTTTTGCCTCTTACTTATTAAATAAAAAAAGTATTTCTCTTCCACTCCTAGACTCAAGTTCAGAAGTAAAAGATGCAGCTGTACAAGTTATAGAATTTTTATTATTTCCTATTACTTCAAATTCATATAAATTATACATTTCAAATAATAAACTATTAACTTCTTCTTTTTTATTTCCAATTTCAATATTCATATTTTCACAATATGTTTCAAGTAAAATATCTAAACCATCTTTTCTAATCCTAGGATCTAATATTGTAGCTAAGTAGTAAAGAGGAGAAATATTCTCTCGATATTTTTTAAAATTTATTTTTTCATTATTTCAACAATACTTTTAAATTGTGGATTCTTTCTATATTTTGCAAAACAATCAATAATCATCATTAATTGATAAGTTAAATTACAACTAGTTGGATAATAAATACTCGATAACTCATTAGTTACATCATAAAAATGTTTTAAAAAAATCTCTTATACAAATTGCCACTTCTCAGTCTTCCTCAAATATAATATCAGTAGCCATTTTTGCATTACAAAAATCACTAAAAATTTGTTTATGAGAAATAAACTTTCCAACATAACATAGGTAGAATTTCATCTATGTTTAACATCTAATATAAAATGTTTATATTTTAAAACATAATTTTGACATAAATATTTAAATTCTTGTTTTTTGCTCCAAAACTTTTAATATATATATATATATATATATATATATA